TCCTTCCTACCTCTTCATTCACCTCTCCCTCTCCCCCTCCTCACCTCTCCCTCTCCTACCCTACCTCTTCCCTATTTCTCCTACCTGCCATCACCTCTCCCTTTTCCTACCCTCCATCACACTTCTCCCTCTCCTCCTCTCATCAACCTCCCTTTCTATTCCTCCATCCACTTCTCTCTCTACCTCCATTCACCTTCCCTCTCCCTATACCCTCCATCACCTCTCTCTCTATCCCTTCATCACTCTCCTCTCCTACTCTCCATCACTCTCTTTCCTTACCCTCCATCACCGTTCTTCCCTCTTCTCCCTCCCCCTCCATCACCTCTCCTCCCCCTTCTCTCTCCCTCACCCCTCCATCACTCTCCCATCTCCTACCCTCGCATCACCTCTCCTTTCCTACCTCCATCACATTATCTCCCTCTCCTACCCTCCATCACCTCTCCCTCTCCTACCCTCCATCACTCTCCCTCTCCTACCCTCCATCACCTCTCCCTCCTCCTCCTCCATCACCTCTCCCTTTCCTACCCTCCATCACTCCTCTCCTCTCTTCCTATCACCTCTCCCTCTCCTACCCTCCATCACTCTCCCTCTCCTACCCTCCACACCTCTCCCTTTCTACCCTCCATCACCTCTCCCTCTCCTCCCCCATCACCTCTCTCTCTCTCTCCCTCACCCCCTCCATCATCTCCTCTCCTACTCCACACCTCTCCCTACCCTCCATCACCTCTCCCTCTCCTACCCTCCCATCACCTCTCCCTTCCTCACCCTCCATCACCTCTCCCTTCCTACCCTCCATCACCTCTCCCTCTCCTACCCTCCAATCACCTCTCCCTCTCCTACCCTCCCACTCTCCCTTTCCCGCCTCCATCAACCTCCCCTCTCCCTCCTCCATCACCTCTCCCTTTCCTACCCTCCATCACCTCTCCCTCTCCTACCCTCCATCACCTCTCCCTTTCCTACCCTCCATCACCTCTCCCTCTCCTACCCTCCATCACCTCTCCCTCTCCTACCCTCCATCACCTCTCCCCTCTCTACCCTCCATCCTCTCCCTTTCCTACCCTCCATCCACCTCTCCCTCTCCTCCCTCTCTCCCTCCCCCCTCCATCACCTCTCCTCTCCCCTCCTCCTCTCCCTTTCCCCCCTTCTCCATCACCTCTCCCTCTCCCCCCTCCATCACCTCTCCCTTTCCCCCCTCCATTACCTCTCCCCTCTCCCCCCCTCTCCTTCCCTCCCCCCTCCATCCCTCCCCTTTCCCCCCTCCATTACCTCTCCCTCTCCCCCCCTCCTCCTCCCCTCCCCCCTCCATCACCTCTCTCCCTTTCCCCCCCTCCATTACCTCTCCCTCTCCCCCCTCCTCCTCTCCCTCCCCCCCTCCATCACCTCTCCCTTTTCCCCCCTCCATTACCTCTCCCTCTCCCCCCCTCCTCCTCTCCCTCTCCCCCCTCCCTCCCCTGCGGTCGCCTGCGTGTGAGTGCGTGCGTGCGTAGCCCGTGGTTTATGGCGGTGGAGCAGCGAGGGTGCCAGAGTCTGGCGCTGGTAGCTTTAACGGGTTAATCAGTGCCAGCAGCGTCGTCAGCGGAGACTGAGTGGCATTAGGAAAAAGGCTTTGTGTCCGAGTCCCGCTGATAGAGAGGATCGGAGAGGCGAGATAAACTCATGGGCGGGATTGAGGCAGGAGGGGAGCGGGGCGTGACAGCTGGAATCCCTCGCGTCAAGGATCTAGATTAATACAAAGGTTATCACTCATGTTATCTCCATGAAAACGCACAGTGACTTGTTGCAAATGTATCGACACGACCAGAGCAAGAGGCGTGTCAGGACAGACAGGATGGTAAATGAGATATGCAGTTGCACAAGAGTTCTGTGACGTCTCTCATCTATATGAGAGGGAGAGATAGATAGATAGATAGATAGATAGACAGAGAGAGAGGGAGAGATAGATAGATAGATGGATAGAGAGAGAGAGAGAGAGAGAGAGAGAGAGAGAGAGAGAGAGAGAGAGAGAGAGAGAGAGAGAGAGAGAGAGAGAGAGAGAGAGAGAGAGAGAGAGAGAGAGAGAGAGAGAGAGATTTTCCTAATAGAAGGCAAATAACTGACGCTTAAATTTGTGATTTTCATCTCAAATATTCCTGATTTTCATTGTCCAATCGAATCATTAATATTCGCCTTTCCATGTGGAAATTAGAGGCTGTATACCGAAACAGAGATAAAAACGGGAAATCATTAGAAAGAAGGGATAAAAGATAATAAAGCGAATAGATTCGCGAAAAAAGGTAGCATTGCATGAAATGAAAACTAATATAATAAGAATAAACACTAAAAGCATCGAAAAGATGAAATACCAAAGAGAAACAAGACAGAAAGGCAAAAAAAGAAAAAAGAAAATCTTGAAATAGCCTCCAACAAAGCCAACCCAACAGCGTATAAGCGAAAGGAAAACAAAAGCGCCGGCGGCGGCGATTCTCCTCTCGCGGCGCAGAGCGTCACCCGCGCCACAGAAGGGCATCGCATCCTTTAAGCGGCAGATGCAACCCGATTCCCCGCGGCAAAGAGAGGTTCCATTTGACTGTCCCTTTGATCTTCGGCTTTTTATTTTTCGTATTCAGCCGCAATTTGGGCTCCTACTGTTTTGACCTTTTTTCTTTCTCTCTTTGCTTATTTTGGAATATTTTTCTTTTTCTTTTTTCAGGTGGGTGCCCTACTGTATTATTTTTCTTTTCTATTTGTTTTCTTTGTTATGTGTTTATTCTTCTTATTTATGTGCATTGTAAAACATTATTTTTCTCTATCTCTTATTTTTTCCCAGTCTTTTTTCTCTCTCTTTTGAGCAGATGAAGAGCTGGCGATTCCCCCGCGTCTGCGCGGCGGCGCTTCGGCGAGTGCAAGCCGTCTCCTTCCGCTGCTTCGTTGTTGCAATTAAACACGTCAAGATGTTGGCAAAGGAGATTCAACTCCATCTGCTTCTCTGCTTCGTCTCCACACACACACACACACACACACACACACACACACACACACACACACACACACACACATATATATATATATAATATATATATATATATATATATATATATATATATATATATGTATGTAATATGTATATGTATGTATATGTATGTTATATATATATATATATATATATATATATATATATATATATATATATATATATATATATATATATATATATATGTGTGTGTGTGTGTGTGTGTGTGTGTGTGTGTGTGTGTGTGTGTGTGTGTGTGTGTGTGTGGTGTGTGTGTATGTAATGTATGGCGCATAGCGCTGGCCATATCGATCGGACTGAGGGCAGAACGGGGAGGGGTGAAGGGGGGAGAAGGGGACGGGCGGGCGGAACAGGGGACGGACACGTGTATGGAAGGGGAAAGCAGGGCGAGGAACCGGGGGAGAGGAAGAGGGGGAGAAGAAGAGAGGGGAGAGGAGGAGGGAAGAGCGGTGGGAGAAGTAGGACGAGTTGGGGAGCGAAGGGTTTTAGGGACTGCCTAAGAGACAACGGCTTTGGAGGCGAGGTGGTGGAGGACTTTCCGTCGGGGGTAGGGGGGGGGGGGAGGGGGAAGGGGCTGGTTTGGGGAGTCTAATAGCGGGAGAGGGAGAGAAGAGAAAGACACGAACGCAGAGAGAGAGAGAGAGAGAGAGAGAGAGAGAGAGAGAGAGAGAGAGAGAGAGAGAGAGAGAGAGAGAGAGAGAGAGAGAGAGAGAGAGAGAGAGAGAGAGGTTTGATTGAGAATCACACAAATAAACATACAAATAAGTAATGACAATAGTAAATGATAAAAGATAATGGCATGAAAATGACCCTATACAACAATAAAAGCAAAGCTATAATCAAAACAAAAAGATTTTCTCTCCCAAGAAACTCCTCTTTCTCCTGACCTTCTCGAGCGTCCCAAAGAAAATAACAAACTGGGAAACAAGGAAAGGCGAGAGAAGGGGAGATTCGTGGTGAAAAAAAAGATAAACAAAGAAGAAGAAATAGAATAGAAATAAAGATAGAAGCAGGAGAAAGGGGAGAGAGGGCGAAGAGGGAGAAAGGGTCCCGGGCGCGACACAAGACGCAACAAGAAGACAAGAGAAGTGAGTGTCTGTTCTTGGGAGCGCGAGAGGGACGCGAGACAGGTATTGTGTGTCTTGAGATATGATATGGGGGAGGGGGAGGGGCCCAGGGGGGTCTTGGGAGGGGAAGGGGGGGCGAGGGGGAAGGGGGGCGAGGGAGGGGGGCGAGGGAAGGTGAAAAGAGGAAGGGCGCGGGCGGAGGGGGTGATGGGAAGGGACGATGGGAAGGGACAAGGGGAGGGGAGGGGGTGGGGGTAGGGTTGAGGGGAGAGGGGAGGGGAGGGGTTTGATGGGAGGGGGCAGGAGGGGAAGCGGGAGGGGTAATGGGTGGGGTGAGGGGAGAGGGGAGGGGAGGGGCAGGAGGGGTGGTGGGGGTGGTGAATGAGAGTGGGCGAGGGGACGAGGCGAGGGAAGGCGGTGGTGGGTGGGGGTGTGGGGAGAGGGCGAGGGCTATGGCGTTGAGAGGAGAGAGTCCTTTTCTTTCTAATGGGGAAAAAAGGGGGGTAGGGGTGGCAAGGACAGGAGTTCCAGTGAGAAGGAAGGGAGAACAGAGACGCAGGTGACAAGGAAGTTAGAAAAAAGAAACAAAAGAAATAAAGGGAGCGGGGAGAGTAAAAGGCGAAATCATATATACACAATACCCTCTCTTTCTCCCCTTCCTCCTCTCTCATTCTCTCATCCCCCCCCATCCTCTCTCTCTCCACTTCCTCTTTCCTTCTCTCACTCTCTCTCCCTGCCCCCCCTCTCTCTTTCTCTCTCCCTCTCTCTGCCTGTCTGTCTGTCTGTCTCTCTCCCCCCCCTCTCTCTCTCACACACACAAACACATATATGTATATAAGTATGTACGTATAAAAATACACACAAATCCACCTAAGCATCGCATCACAATCACAAGCAGACAACAGCAGACATTACAGGAGTAAAGAACCGTCTCACGGAGAGAGAGAGAAAAAAAAAAAAAAAAAAAAAATCTCGCCTGTCCATTGGCCTTCGTTGACCGCCTGTCCTCGCGAAGGCAAGCGAAGTCGAGGGAAACGGGAGAGGAACGTCGACTTTCTAGCAGCAACAACGTTTATGATGATAAAGATGATAATAACAATGATAATGATGATGGTAATGATAATGATAACAATAATAATGATGATGATGATTGATAATAATGACAATAATAATGATGATAATAAGGAATGATAATAACAGGAATGATAATAATAATAATAATGATTATAATAATAAAGATACTGATAATAATAATAAAGATAATGATGAAAATATCAAATATTATAATAAAAGTAACAATAATAATGATTGTAATCATAACAATGATAATAATATTGATTGAGATAATAATAACAATAGCATTAATAATGATAATGATAATAATACTAACAATTATAGCAACAAAAATAATTACAATGATAATGAAAAATAATAGTAACACCAACATACACAATAACAACAATGCTAATAATTTGAATAACAATAATAATGCTATTAACAATGATTATAACAATAATAACAGTAAGCACCATCATGCTAACACAAAAACAAACCTAGACAGACAAGACGTAAAAAAGAAAAAGAAAAGAAAAGAAAAGGAAGAAAGAAAGAAAAAACCCGCCACGGCAGTTCGCACTCCTTCCGCGCCAACACGAATCCCTCAAAAAGGCTTCGCTAATTGGCTATTTTAAACCGGCAACTGTACAAACACACACACATGATTTCGTCTGTTTCCTCTATATGTATATATATATATTATATATATATATATATATATATATATATATATAATATATATATATATATATATATATATATATATATATATATATATATATATATATAATATATATATATATATATATAGAGAGAGAGAGAGAGAGAGAGAGAGAGAGAGAGAGAGAGAGAGAGAGAGATAGATAGATAGATAGATAGATAGATAGATAGATAGATATAGATATAGATATAGATTGATATATAGATATATAGATAGATATATAGATAGATATAGGTAGATAGATAGATAGATAGATATAGATAGATAGATAGACAGACAGACAGATATATATATATATATATATATATATATATATATATATATATATAATATATATATATATATATATTATATATATCTTCCGTCTCTCTATTTTTTCTTAAATATAGTTCGAGTTTTCTGCTCACATTTAACCCTTTGAAAAACATTTTGGCTCCAGTCGAAGGTTTCGAATCTCACGCCGAACCGCAGGTCTCGCTGGACAGATCACGTGACGAGGCGACGGAACTGCGCTCGTGAAACAAAGGCTGATTCCCAGAATTATATTTATATCTTGTGTTTTTCATATCAAATACTAGGCATAGTATTTGAATGTTCACAAAGAGGAAGCTATACAGATGAATAGAAAGACAGATAAACCATAAACAGGGAGATTAATTGATGCACACACAAATATACAGAAAGAAACAGACTGACAGGCAGACAAATTGATGGGTGGATGGCTAAATATAGAGACAGATAGACAGACAGAGAGAAAAAGAAAAGAGAAACAAGAGAGAGAGAGACAGAGAGAGAGAGAGAGAGAGAGAGAGAGAGAGAGAGAGAGAGAGAGAGAGAGAGAGAGAGAGAGAGAGAGAGAGAGAGAGAGAGAGAGAGAGAGAGAGAGAGAGTCAGACAGACAGACACAGACAATATAACCAAATCCAGTCTACAAAACAGCAATCGGACGCGGCGTTATGTCAGAGGAAAAGAACAATTTCGGGATCTCGGGGTACGAGAGGGATCAGCTGTGCGGGCCAGGCGCTCCGAAGGCCATTCAGGTGTCTGCCAGGTGACTCTCTCTCTCTTCTCCCCTTCCTCTGTCTCCTTCTCTCTCTCAATCTCTTTCCTCTTTCTCCTATTCTCATTCTCCTCTTTCTCTTTTTCCCATCCTCTTTCTCCTATTTTCTCAATCTCTTTTTCTCCTATTCTCTCTCCTCTCTCATTCTCTTTCCTCTTTCTCCTATTCTCTCACATTCTATTTCCTCTTTCTCTTTTTCCCATCCTCTTTCTCCTATTTTCTCAATCTCTTTCCTCTTTCTCCTATTCTCTCTCATTCTCTTTCCCTCTTTCTCTCATTCACTATCAGTCTTCTCTCTCTCTTGTATGATCTTTATGTGTTAGCTACTCTCCCCTCTCTCTTCTACCTCTTCTTTCTCTTTTGCACTACACCTCTCTGCTTATGCATCTCGCCCTCCTGTCTGCCTATCTGTTTCTCTGTATATATATATGTATGTATATATATATATATATATATATATATATATATATATATATATATATATATATATATCATATACATATATATATATATACATATTATATATATATATATATATATTATATATATATATATATATATTATATATATATACACACATATATATATATATATATATATATATATATATATATATATATATATATATATTATATATATATATGCTATATGTGTGTGTGTGTGTGCGTGTGTGTGTGTGTGAGTGTGCATGTGCATTGTTGCTATTCAGCAAACATCTTTCTGGGGCGACTTTCAAAAGGCAAAATACTGCGAAACAGCGCAGTTCTGATCCTCGTGGCCTTACGCGCAGCCTCTGCCTAACCTCCTGCAGAAGGAAGAAACGACCTCGTTCGTACTTACATGAGGCGGTCGTGGGGCGTCGCGGCCTCCTCCTCCTGCGGCTGGAGCTCTCCCTGCGGAGGCTGCGGGGGGGCCTCGGAGGTCGCCATGCCTCCTCCTGCCGCCGCCTCACTCCTGGAGGGCGAGGCGGGGGGGGAGGTCCTGGCCGCCGCTGGGGAATCCACTCTGGCGGCGCCGAAGGCCTTTCCCGGGCACCCGAGCGCCGGACTCGCGCCTCGACACTGAACCTTTTCAACGGCGAAGCGTGAACAATGCAACGGAACAGCGCCGGGGCGTGACGGGCGTGGGGCGCGAGAGAACGAGGGGCCCCGGCGAAGGCACGTGGCAGGAGGGGCGAGCAGGTACGGAAGGCGGGGCAGCAGCGGCGGCAGCAGCAGCAGCGAGAGCAGCAGCGTGCGTTCGTAGGCGGCGGCGGCGGCGTCACGTTCAACAAGTCCGGGTCTGGGAGGCGTAGTGCGAGCGGCCGAGGAGGTAGCGGTGGTGTGGCGGCGGAGGCGGTGCCGCGCGGGGGGACTACGCAAGCCCCGCCCCGACATCGATCTTGACCTGCGCAGGGTACAGGCTGATCTGCCCGCCGCTGCCTGCCTCTGCCCCGACGCGCGGAGGAAGCACACCGCGCTCCAGCGGCGGACGACGGGCGTTCCCTTCGTCCCGACGCGGCCACGGCAAGGGACGGGACGGAGCAGCCGCGGCCAGGCGCTGAGGGGCGGTCGCGTCCGCAGCCAAAAAGGAATGCAACTCAAGCTTCGAATCACAGAAGGTCGTCGCTGTGCTGACGCTGAAGTCCAGCAGAGGCTCGAGCGCGACCCGAGGCGACGGCCAGCGGCACCTGAGAGCCCGGCGCGACTGATCGCCTGTCGCTTGAGCGAACCTTGCACTGTCCACCGCCCCGCATTCACGCCACCGTTGATGAACGATGATATTTGAAAAAAAAAGAGAAAACTCCGTTACTTAAAAATGGCTTTAGTCCTGATGCTGATAAAAGTACAGTAAGTACCACGCCAAAAACTTTCCCCATCTACCCTACCCGGCATATAGGCCTATCAGTTTCCTACTTTCCGCCCAACAGGTTTCATATTTCGACCCGATATGACCTAGTGTCCCCGGTCACCTTCCCCCAGGCCAATAACAAAGGTTAATAGAAGCGTAAAACTAGGTCAACAACAATAGGCCTACGGAGAAAGCGATGACCCGCCGACGCCCTCCTCGGCCTTCCCACACGCCGGCTGCTTCGGCGCCTCGCATGAGGCCGGGCATCGCCTGAGTGCTTTCGATGGCATTTTGAACGATGGCAAGGCATTATCTGCGCGGGAATTATGAAAAATAAACATATAATCACGAATTTGACAACGATGGCAAATAAACATTAATATAATTCGACTCGGAATAAAAATAGAAACAAGCAAAAATATCCAATAAGATCTTTGTATAGATATAGCAAGTTTATTATACAAAACACCGCTGCCAGGCGTAGACCTCTCATTCGTAAGCTTATATTCCCTGATATTAAACTAAAAAAACAGCAAGACAAATGCCTAAAACAAATTATTAGTGCTATTGTTCTCTTTCCATTATTTTGGTAAATTGATTTATTGTGAACCTGTAAAATAATTACAGGACATCTGTATGGTACCAAGGAAGAGACATTTTTTCATAAAGCATAAACTAACGGAGAGCATGCTTGTCAACCCTTATTTGCTCGGCCCGTTCCTCAAAAGTATACTTAAACGAATACAAAAATAAAGCATAAGTATAGCATAAATTAAGATATAAGAAAATGAAATTCCGGTTATCAACTAGCCTCTTAAGTCATCTCCTCGTCCTCTCTTTAAATTGAATTGAATACGAAAGAGATTAAAAGGCATATATCTACTAGACTTTTTAAGCAGAGCTCGACACAGTCGCGTGACGGCGCACTGTCGTAGCCTCAGAAACTCGGTATTGACATCGTCCTCAAAGTGGATCGTGTGCGGGGTCAGACGTCCTGTGTGTGTGAAAGAGAGAGAGAGAGAGGGGAGGGAGGGAGGGAGGGAAGGAGGGAGGGAAGGAGGGAGGGAGGGAGGGAGGGGGGGGAGGGAGGGAGGAGGGGAGGGAGGGAGGGAGGGAGGGGGGAGGGAGGGAGGGAGAGAGAGAGAGAGAGAGAGAGAGAGAGAGAGAGAGAAGAGAGAGAAGAGAGAGAGAGAGAGAGAGAGAAGAGAGGAGAGGAGGGAGAGGAGAGGAGGACAGGGAGAGAGAGAGGAGAGAGAGAGAGAGAGAGAGAGAGAGAGAGAGAGAGAGAGAGAGAGAGAGAGAGAGAGAGAGAAGGAGGAGAGAGGAGGAGGTAGAGTAGAGGAGAGGAGAGAGAGAGAGAGAGAGAGAGAGAGAGAGAGGGAGGAGGGGAGGGAAGGAGAGGAGGGGAGAGAGAGGGAGGAGAGAGAGAGAGAGAGAGAGAGAGAGAGAGAGAGAGAGAGAGGGAGGGAGAGGAGGAGGAGAGAGGGAGGAGAGAGGAGAGAGAGAGAGAGAGAGAGAGAGAGAGAGAGAGAGAGAGAGAGAGAGAGACAGAGACAGAGAGAGAAGAGAAGAGAGAGAAGAGAGAGAGAGAGAGAGAGAGAGGAGAGAGAGAGAGAGAGAGAGAGAGAGAGAGAGAGAGAGAGAGAAAGAGAGAGAAGAGAGAGAGAGAGAGAGAGAGAGAGAAGAGCAGGAGAGAGAGAGAAGAGAGATAGTAAGAAAGAGAGATAGTAAGAAAGAGAGAGAGACAGAGAGAGAGAGAGAAGAGAGAGAGAGAGAGAGAGAAGAGAGAGAGAGAGAGAGAGAGAGAGAGAGAGGAGAGAGAGAGGAAGAGAGAGAGAGAGAGAGAGACAGAGAGGAGAGACAGAGAGAGGAGAGAGAGGAGAGAGAGAGAAGAGAGAGAGAGAGAGAGAGAGAGAGAGAGAGAGAGAGAGAGAGAGAGAGAGAGAGAGAAGAGAGAGAGAGAGAGAGAGAGAGAGAGAGAGAGAAGAGAGAGAGAGAGAGAGAGAGAGAGAGAGAGAGAGAGAGAGAGAGAAGAGAGAAAGAGAGAGAGAGTCAAGAATAAATTACCAAACAGAAATAAATTACAAACACAGATAGATCGATAGAAAGATAAATCAATGGATAGATATATAGACAGACAAATAGGTAGATGAACTGATAGATATATAATATGGCAGATAGATAAAGAGACCGAGAATGTCTGAATGTATGTTACTGGAAGAGTGTCCGCGTGCGTGTGTGTACGCAGGTGTGTACACGTGTATGTCAGTAATTGGTCGAAGGTATTGACCTATCTGCACTGAAGTGATATACCGCAGGAGGCGCTCAGCTGGTAGTGCAGATGGCACGGAATCTTACACTAAACAGCGAGCCACGTTGTCATACAAGGGTGGCCTTATGCATGAATAAACTTACAGATGCGTGTATAATTCGACAGATGAAGGAAGGCGTCGGCAAACACACGCATAAATATAAGGATGAATATATGAATAAAAATACATATATTAGTGTATACATTTATGCATATTTCTCTTTCTTTTCTTTCTCTTTCTCCCCCCTTCTCTCTGTTTCCCTTCTTGCCTCATATGCACTTCCTTCCCTCGCTGTCACGCCCCTCCCCCCTCGTTCTCTTTCTCATTCCTTCTTTCCCTCACTCACTCCTCTATCGCCCCCCCCTTTCTGCCTCTATTTGTCTGTATATCTGCTTGTCAATCAGTCTGTCTGTCTGCTTATCTACCTGTGTGTCTCTTTCTGTTTTCCCCCCCCCCTCTCTCTCTCTCTCTTTCTCTCTCTCTCTGAGCGTGTGTCTCCCTCATCCCTTCTTTTTCATTTCTCTGCTTATTTGTGATAACGACACGTCTAACACGCTGGGCAGGAGCGTCGTTATGCAACTTCGCAATCGATGCAAAGCTGGTGCAATCAGCCGAGGCGCCGCGTGCAGGCCCGCTTGATGCATCGCCATGACCAGCGAAGTCGCCCACAGCACTGGCGGCCTTGCATTCGGACACAGGAACGTGAGCTCGAATACTCGTACACCCGCGCATGCGCACGCACACATACACGCGCGCGCATGCACAAACAGTGTACGCCGTGTTCAAACAGAGACAGCTTTGATGCACAACAAATACACAAAGAAGTTATTCCGCATATACTTTACATTCCATAAGCATTGTATCTCCGTGTAACACAAATTTTACATGGCCGCAATAACGCCCGCACTCTGCCTGACTTGTCCAAGAGTCTTAACAAAGAGCGGTGGCTTTATTATGGCTGGGCACAGGCTGCTTATCTGGAGTATCACAAACTTTCTTATCAGATTCTTGCATTCGCACACTTGAAGGGATATCGCAGTCGTCCTTTCGTAAGCGTCAGAGAGGGAACGCAAGAGAGCAGGAGGAGAAGAAATAGAGCAAGAAGAGAAAGAATGGAGATGCTTGCGTGCGGATACGAGGAAGAGCCAGTCTCACGGGGAGTTTATGAAGGCCCTCGCGAGACCGCATACTGCGCACCGTAAATCATATGAGGAAAAGAGAGGGGAATATACCTCACAACATCAACGCAGAGTTAGAGTTAGATATTGATACTTTAATGTACTTGGAGAAGGCACTGAACGACCATCGGCCCGGCGGACGAAGGCTCGGAATGCTGTCCCGCGAAGTTTTAGCAACAACCACAACGTTTTTATCTGCCTTATGCAATCTCATTTACTTATCTATTTACCAAATTCATTTAATTAACATTTTGTTCAAAAGAGAAGCAGTTTTATAGGGAGCAAGATGGTCAGCGATATATCTATAAATGAAATTATTGATATTAACTCATGGGTAAATACTTGAAAGAAATTACCACAGCATGATGTCATTCCAGAAAAGGCTATAATTTGCCTGTGCAACACACCACACAAACAAACAAACACATGAACAAACAACAGTAATACACACACAAAACAAATACGAACAATATCACACACAAGGAAGCAAACATAAGCGAGCAACAATAGCACACACACACAAACAAACAAACACGCAAACGAACAAACAATAATACAAACAAGAAAACCTACACATAGACAAACAATAACACACGCGCACAAGCAAACACACAATGCAAAGAACAACTCATACACAATAAACAAGAAACAATAAACACAATAAGCAAATACCTCCACACAAACAACCAATAACACGCGCACACAAAATAAGCACAAACAATAACACACGCAGACGATCCAACAGCCGCACATACTCACACCCAAACAACACACACACACCGCAACCAGCCCCCCCAGGCCAACAGCCATCCCTCCTGTTCCGTGGACGACGCCCTGCCTGACGCCGCCCCGAAGAGGACCTCGCGGAACGGCCCTGAAATCTGCAAGTCATCCCTCAGTCAGTCCCTCGGCGCGCAGGGAGGTTTGCAACACGAAAAAGGCTTCGTCATCATGACTCGTAAGATTTTGAGATTTTTTGTGTGCCTTTGTATTCTATGACGTCACATGCTTCTAGAAACGACGGTGAAAGAGCAGCATGATTTTCTGAAGCTACAGCATCACCTGATTTCATGCTTGCGATGATGGTGACCGCGATAATAGTAATGATAGAATAGAATGATAAAATAGTAACAACAAAACAAAATGATAAAAATGATAATCAAACAGAATAACAAAATAGTAATGATAGAATAGAATGATAAGATAGTGAACAAGAAAATAATGATTAAAGGTATTGCAACTACCAATATCACCTGCTGACGATGTCACTGCTGCTGCATCTGATCAAGGTGAAAGTGACGGTGATAATGCTGATGATAATAATAATGATGATATCTGGCGATGCTAAGAACGATGGCCATAACGACAGTGATAATTGCGATGACGATGATGATTTT